GTGCCTTTTCTTTCTTTTAATATTACCATAATTTTGGAAATGATAATGATAAATGATAATGATGATAAATTACTAATAAAATAATTAGATCCTAAATCACAGATTATTCCTGTGCTAAGTATTTGTGACAAATATATAAATGACTCTTTGAGCAAGACTTAAATCACTACTGCTTTTCAGCAACTATTTTTCTTTGTTATTAGCCTCAAAGCAGTGTTGGGGTCTGTTGATGGGGTCCTCTGTTAGCAGTATCTCAGGCCTCCTGTCCATGTATCTTCTGCAGTTCTAACACTGCATTACTCACATTTGTTTCAAGCAGAAAGTGGGAAACTTCCTTTTTCTGTATCAGAATTATAAGCTCCAATATAAAATATAAGCAGTTGAAACCAAAACCCTTGCAAATGCTTTTGTAGCAGGTAGCAGCAAGCTGTGGGGTGTTGGATTACGGTTGAGTGCCAGATGCAGGCTCAGAAAGCAGATGTTAGCAAAGGGGCTTCATTTTCTTGACTTTCATTGTGCAGCCRTAAGTTGCTGTGATAATGGCCCCAGCTGCATAGTTCTCGCAGTAAAGGCACAAACATAACTTTGAGACAAGGGATCTGTGTGCTGTATTAGGGAAATTATGGGAAAAAAATAGGGAAAAATCCATATTCTCTTTCATTCCGTAATAATGACATTCCAAAATATCTTTTAGATTCAAACTATCTGAAACGTCCAAGTGGAAAAGTGAAAAACWGCCTTTTTCTGTTGAAAATCCTGAGTTTCATTAACTTCTGATGAAACATCAATTTCTAATGAAACATGCTCTGCTGAATTTAGGTTACACAGGATGGCTGTGCACTGAAATGGAGATGGCGATTGCAGTACCTTGGCTGAAGGATGGTACTGAACAGAACAACACAGTCACTTCCTGAACTACTTCACTGTGACSTGCAAATCATTTTAAAGAAAATAAAAATTACATAGGATTTCTTTTTGGAGGTCCTCAATCTAAGAGACAAAATATTAATTTCAAAAACTTGGGCCCATATAACTTTTGGGTTCCTCTAAAAGTTTTTTGATTTCGGTTGAGTTGTGCAGGGGAAAAATTTATCCCACTGCTGTAGTAGCTGCAGCCTGAATTTGCGAARTGCCTCTTGGGCCCTCTTAAACTTTGTTTTATATTTGAAGCTGCAGTTGTTTTTCCTGTTAGAAGATTAAGTCATTTTATCCTTAGTAACAAGTGTTTACAGTGTCAGCTAGGATTATTTTTAAGTAAGGAATTCACCTTCTCATTGTATGATTTTTTGTTACTTATTACTGCGGATTTTTGCCTCCTATTTTTCTGTTTCAATTATCCTGTATTTCTAAAGGAGTAAAAAATGTCTAATATTTCCCTTCAGAAATATTTTTATTCCTTTTAGCTGAGATGCCAACACAGATGTTATTTTCCCTTTAATTTCCATATGTTTATATTTCTGTAAAACCAAGTATCTGCAGTATTACGTATATAAATAACAGTGCTAATGTCAAACTCATTTGTCCTCTGAATGTTACCTTAAAATGTCATTAGAGCAAATTGAATGAAATTATTTTCTGAATCCAATCCAAGTTCAAACCAATATTTTAGTGTATTCATAGGAAATGTGTAGTTTTTATTTTTTTTCTGTAGAAATAGTTGTTAACTAGTTGGAAATTATCGGACACATTYTCTATCCCACAGGGATCAGGTGTATTTGGAAGAAACCTGGTTCTCTTGGTCTCTTGCCAATGAGTGCTACTCAAGGAGCTCACATGAGTTCTTCTTTAGGCATTTTTTTCTTTGTTTCTAAAATAATTACAGTGTGATTATTTTATATATACAACTGAGAGAAAAAGAAACGGTAACTTGTCATGAAGTAAAAATGTGAAGGAGTTGGATCAAAGAGCTTTGACTTGATCTTTGCTCCAGCTGCTGCTGTTAAGCAGGGATTTTATGTGGTGCCCCACAAGCTCTCTGAAGAGGTTGGCGTATGCGCTGAAGCYGCTCAGCCCAGAAGTTGGGCAGCATTAACATGTTTCTATTAGTTAAATCTGGTGGGGCGACCTTGTGGCTTCTGGGTATTGCAAACACCTTTTAAAAAAGCATCCCGTTCTGAAATCAAGCTGTACTTAAAGGAGGTATGAGGTGGATTAGGAATTGGCTCAGTGGCAGGGTGCAGAGAGTGGTAGTCAGTGGTGCAGAGTCCAGTTGGAGACCTGTAGTTAGCTGTGTCCCCCAGGGATCGGTCCTTGGTCCAGTCCTGTTCAACTTATTCATTAACGACCTGGATGAAGGGCTGGAGTGCTCCCTCAGCAAGTTTGCTCATGATTCCAAACTGGGAGGAGTAGCTGATAGCCCTGAGGGCTGTGCTGCCATCCAGAGGGACCTGGACAGACTGGAGGACTGGGCGRYGAGAAACMTCATGAAGTTCAATAAGGGCAAGTGCAGGGTCCTGCACTTGGGGAGGAATAACCCTGGACACCAGTACAGATTAGGRGTGGACCTGCTGGAGAGCAGYCCCGCAGAGAGGGACCTGGGTGTCATRGTGGATGACAAGWTGACCATGAGGCAGCAGTGTGCCCTGGTGGCCAAGAAGGCCARCGGGATCCTGGGGTGCATTAAGAAGAGCRTYYCCAGCAGGTCGAGGGAGGTGATCGAGGGAGGTGATGATTCTATGATTCTATGGAGAGAAACTACTGTGATGCACAAATATAAATTAGAAGAGGGTGAGTTATGGGCATGGCACGATTCCCTTGGGCTTCTGAGTGTTACTCTAGTAACAGAGCTTGCTCCATCCCCACTCTGCGCCCTCTTTCAGGAGTGAGGTACGTTCTTCTTAAGATACTTGATGATAACAGCATGAGTAGAAATAAAATCATCTATGTAGTTGTCCTTCCATTGGGAGTGGAGAGGGAGAAAAAATCCAGCAGTGTTTTTTTGTAGTGGGGAAACTGTCTTTTCATGTATAGTTTTAGGATGGTATTATAAACATACAGACAAACCGCACAGTCTTTCTGCTAATGCACATGAAAGTCAAAGTCATTTTTTTCTAATTACAGCAACCATTTTGCTTGATACTGAGCATGTTTTACATTGATTCAATCTGTGGATCTATTTCTTCAGCTTCGTTCTTGCCACAGCTGGCAAGAGTCTCGCTCTGTAAAGGATACGCAACCCACTGGGGACTGGGTGCAAAATACTACCAGCAAACATCTGCCCAGGCCTSTGAAGGCTCTTAGAAAAATGTGGAGGAAGCTGCTTTTAGCACTGATATTTGTGCTTGACATTMGGAGGAGTATTCCAGTTTATTGACCCATTTACAGTTTCAAATGYCTCACTGTGACGAACATATGGGAATAAAACTGTCCATATGAGTTCTAAGAGGATTGCTGCACTGTTTCTGGTTACTTTTGATGCTTCTGCTACAGATCCTGAAGTTGAATATTTTTCCTCAAATGGGTATGTTCGTGGGGTTTCTAGGAGAATTTGTTATCAAAACATCCTCCTTTATTTCAAAGCACTGGAGAATTCTTTTTCCCAGAGAGCGGTAGTTTTTGGAAGTGGATGTTTTTTCAGCATGTTGTAACTTCTTACTTACAACTGCATATGAAACTGTAGATTCTTCTGAAGAATCCGATGGAGGAAGGCTCATGAGAAGGCACTTGGCAGAAAGCCAGCCTGAATTTCAACTTTCCTGAGTTCACATTGAGTCCACAGTAGGATCTGTGTGGTTCTATTTTTGTCATCACTGCTATATTTTTTCCCTCTACTCTCCTAGTGAGATCTTTCCTCCCATGATTTCAAATACTACACATATGTGTTGGATTCTGCAGTCTCATAAATGCAGTCGGATGATAGATGGTGATCCCATTTTGAGAAGCTTAAACAGTTTGCAGGTCTGCAGCAGCCAGTTTCTATCTTTCTGCTAGAAATGACAGTCCTGAAAGTCATAACTCTCAGTGAGAATGCTCCCATTCTGCCTGAATGCCAAGTGAAACAGATTACATTAAACCAACTTGAGGCCTGCTAATCTCTTTAATCTACCCGTGGGTTTTATCTATCTGCTTTATTTTACGCCAGCTTGGGCTGGATGTATTCATGCAGTGAGGATGGGAATCTCAGTGCTGTGACAGGCTCTTGTCAAACTGCTTCCAGCTGGGTGGGTTACAACTGAACTTTGTTCCCACTCTCTCCCCACTGCCAAACCTTGACAGTCTCTCTTTTTTTTTATGATTTCCTAAACTTGCAGTGACTTCTTTACGGGAGGGATAAACGTTTTCTGCATTTGAACTGTCRTCTGAGCATGCATTACAATTTCAGGCCTGATCAGGAGTGCCCTTCTGAAGAGCATCTCCTTACATGCGGTAGTCAAGGGACTGGATCCTTCAGGGTGAGACTGAAGTGGGAGATGTTTTCCAGCAACCCACCTGCTGCCTTCAGGCTGCCCATTCATTCCAAGGGGCCAGACTAGGCCTGCTSTCAAGTAAAAGCCCTGTAGCTATCACCAGGGTTAGCCATAGGGAATTTACTCCATAAACCCACTGACATATGTCTACAAGAGGAGTAATAGGTCAGATCTGCTTCCAATTCTGTTTTCATAGGTGTTGTTTTCCTTTCCTAAATGAAATTACCTGAGATGAGCAAATATGAGCAAGGTCTAACTCCCTGTGGCTGCTCCTGAATGTTACCTATGGCAAGCTTCACCTTTTTAGCTTTGCTCTGAGCCCACTAGCCAGTATTTGTGGCCTCAAAAGAGCTTTGTGAAGCGAAAGGGTTTGAGAAACGGGTTATTTAAAAGGATGCATAGGCATGAGTGAGTGATATAACTGTAGGAATATGATCCTGTTTCTTTTTATTCCTAGCAAGATGAAGTGTTTTGCAAGTATATATATACATATAGCATATACCTGTATCATCAGATTGTGTTCAGAGTCTTTGATGTTGATTGAAATGACTTCAACATGTACCTTGTACATTTATATATATATGTTTATTGCAGGGTGTTGGGAAAAACAAGATCGTTGACAGATTCCTTCACCTCTTAAACAGACCCAGAGAGTATTTACAGTTGCATAGGTAAGGATATGTTACATTTCTGCTCTTCGTTGTTTGCCGTCTGTTTTCTCATGTTTTAAAATCATTTTTCTAAAGTTAAATTTGTTATGTAATATGTTATTTCTGCCCATATAAACTCTTCCAAGAAGAATACATTTTTAGGGTCTGTTTGTGTGGTATCTACCATAACAGTGTCTGCCTCCAAACAATAAGAAGAGTTTATATGGGCAGAAACAATACACTGAGGGGGATACAAGAATGTAAGGAGGTCACATTGTGTAGCATAGTAGAAAATAAAACTGTGTATAAGAAGACTGCTGTCAAGTCTTTTTCAAGAAAAGACTTTTGCTGGGATTTCTGGTGAGATTTTCCTAATCATAAGGAATTGCATGAGGAAAGAGATAAAAAGTGCTTCTTTGAATAATTCATTTAAAAAAAGTAGAGATGAAATGTTCTAAATAGTAAAGGTTATATTTATTATTTCCTTTGGCACTCCTACTAAACACATTTATTTGCTTCTCTTGCATAAGCATCTTTGGATTACAAAATTAATATTTTTTTTTTAATTTGCAAGCTATTAAAAAAAAAGATACTAAAAGACACCAAGCCAATTTAAAAGAATTCAAAAGACAAAAGAAACAATAAGTATTGATGTGCAGTGCTGGCTTCTTATGCCCTATATTGTAGGTCAGCAAATAGGAAGGAAGACTTAATTTGTCTAGGAGAGGAATCACTTTGAATTGTACTGCAACTGTTTTCAGCTTCATACCTGTCTTTATCTATCTCTCTTCAGCTTTCTGCCTCTACCACAACTGCCTCTTTCTACATGCAATATTTCTTAAATAGCATTAATAAAAGTTCATGTCTTCTGATATTTTACCCTTTAAAAACACTTTCTAACTTTTGTCTGGAAATGTTTTGCCCGTGTATTCTTCATACTTGGATAGCTCTATTACATCATTTTACTATTGTCATTTTCTCTACTTCCTCTCCAAACTCGCATCTTTTCTAAACACCAGTTTTGGGACTTGCTACTTGCAGTTTTGCATTAACTTTCTTGCTATCTTCTCTGCTTGTAGCTGCCCCCATCCGTTTTGGGTATATCTCACTATCAGTTTTTGCAAATCTCATTTATCYCACAAGATACCTGAGTAGTCTTGTCAATCACAATGTGCAAAGAATTGTTCTCCTATGAAGTGTAATTAACACTACTTCATGATCTTGAAGGTCTTTTCCAACCATAATGATTCTATGATTCAAGGTAAAATAGAAGGATGTATAAACACTCAGTTTGGCCTAATAATGCAGCTGTAGAATAGAGTCACAACATGCCAGTTGGCATGTTAAAAATAAATGTCCTTTTCTCACCCACCTCCTGTTCAAGACAAATTTCTATAGGCTTTCCATACAGGATCAACAGTGCTATGCAATTCCACAAAAATATTTTTGCGTATAGAAAAATCATAAATTTCTATTTCATAGTTGGCATTTTGAAATACCTTATAAAGCACCTTGTTTCTATAATTCCTTGATAAAATTTACCAGACTGTTAAACAAAGATTGCTGTATTATTAGTGAAKATTATTGGATTCCAGAGTAAAATAAGAGTAAGTTTACAAGAATATGTTTGCTACTAAACTTCTGCATATTTTATGTGGGGGAAAAAAAATTCCGTCAGAAGCCTGTTGGTTCACAAGTGTTTAGAAAATGAGCTCAAGTGTGCATCTCATAGCCCTAGGTGTTTCTACAGACTGGAAACAGTTTGGGGGAAATACACTGTGATATGGTATGTTACATTTTGTTATGAAGTATAATTGATTTAGACATGTATTATGAAAGACTACATTAGCTCCTTTCCCAACAAACAGGAATATGAAAGAACTAAAAATAGAATTAAATATGGTTTGCTTTTTTATTATTTTTATTTTTACTTTCTTGGTAAAATAGTATAATTTCTGCTGTTTTATCAATGTGTTTATACATAGAGATTGGAGCATTGTTTTAAAAAAATCAGAAAATTTTTCCTTATTAGAGTTTTAATAGAGTAATAAGTTTTCCTTATTAGAGACAGTGAGCTGATACCAGTATCGATTTTTAAATCACACTTTATGCCTTGTACTTAAAGACAATACAAGGAGAGAGAAAACAGAATTAGGAGAAGTTAATTTCTTTAAATATCCCTTCTGACATCTGTATTTACTTGTTCAACCACTAATTCAGATGAAAGGGTCAGCCTGACCTTAAGAACTAGATTGCTTACAGACATTATAAATCCTTCTTCTTAACCTTTCTTTCAGAACCTCATTGAGAGGTTTTGTATTCTTGGGTGTAATTGTTAAATCTCATGAATGATTTTTGGGCCATAAAACTGAAAAGCAGCCATGATTAGATTTAATAAGGTGTTAAGAAAAAATGATTGCTCAAAAATTATTTAAAATGTTCGCTCCTTTTTTATCTATTTCTTACTATTAGAATAAATCAGGACTTAAGTAAGAGAGAGCGCTCAAAAAGGTGCTTTATATTAGTTCTTAGTTATCAAATGGGAACCAATGGCTGTATCAAATGTGAGATTATGTGATTCTGATTCTGCAGCTGATAATTTGGGGTAGATTCTTCTTGGCCTCTCTCCAGGACTGCACTCACTTATAAAGCATCTTGCTGCTTCTCCATGTGTGAGGAAGAAACTTTAATCTGCCACAGATTCCCAGTCSCTTTCCTACAAGTTCCAGCACGGAAATCCTGAATTTTATTGACCTCACCAGGACGACTGCCTAGCTGTTACTTGCCCAGGACACCCGCTGCAAGTTGTCAAACATGCATCAGTGTTATCTTGCCTGGTATTTTAAGTTATTAGTGCTTTCACCTTGGTTCGTGCACTTTCATGATTCCTCTAGAGGTGAAAATCTATGAGTTCAATGCACTTGGTGCCCATAAGGGATCTGTATGTGAACTGAAGACAGACACTTAGAAATTTTTTAGAAACTTTGATATCCATTGACTAAACCTAACTCAGAATGCAKTATCTGTATATGTTCCCAACCATGTGAACTCTTGAAAGGCTCATTTTGACCCTTCCTATCATTACTTCTGCTCTTTCTAATGTGAGCACTGTAGAAAGAAATTGAGTGTTTCTTTGCAAAAAACTGAAGCATCTAAGCATCCTTAAACAAGATTCCACAGACGGTTAAAAAAAAAATGTTAAAGCTCTCTGGAAGACTGAAGCAAGAACTTGTGCTGTATTAGGCTATAAAATCCTTCTTAGCATTGATGAGAGCAATAGATAAATGTAAAAATGTAGACGTCCAGCTGCTCTGGAGAAAAGCATCCAAGGAAAGTATTGTGGACTTCAGACAGTTAGCTCCTTTGATGCGATTTAAAGGCAAAAAATAAATTACTTCTCTTACCATCAAATTAGTAGCTTAGTGAAATTATTAAAYTAGTAGACACAAATAATAGTTTTGTTGGAATACAAGCAGTTCTGCATATTATTTAATYGCTTAGTTTTGCATCTTTTTGGAATTTAGTTTTACTACCAACCAGTTTTTAAAATGTTGTTTAAAAYGATTTCTTTACACTGCAGTTACTGCTTGTGTGTAGATTGTACTACAAYGTTTATCCTTCTCTTTCCAATGCAAGCTTGGTTTATGGCCCAAGTTTTTTTTATGTTTGTACTGGATGGTGGAGGGACATATAACAGAAAGTCCATTTTTCTAAGCAGCTTAAATTCTGGCGAGTAGGGTGTAAAATTCAATGACCTACATCTTACAGTAGCTTCTGCTAATGTAAATGATTTTATGTGCTAAAGACACTGGATTATGTGCTAGGTTCTGTGCACTAAAAGCACTAGATTAATACGTACATCAAGCTTTTGGGGTCATATGATGTGTGATTTTAGCTTGCATTAAAATATACTGCTAGTCTTTAGCACCTGGTCTTAAAAATAAGGGGAAAAAAAAGAGAACAAGATTTACATGTACTTTATTGTCATCTAAAATCGTAGACAGCTAAAGAGAAGTGGAGAAGTGCTGTGAAGAGCCAGATAGTATGAACTCAAGATCTGGTCTTGCCATGAAAGCTGCCACCTTCGTTCTGCTGAGGCCAGGTTGGCTTTAAGTCATGTAGTCAAAAAGAGGACCTGCCAACAGGAACTCTCTGGAATATTCTGAAATATTCTGAAATATTCTGAATAACTGTCTGGGATCCTCGTTGCTCTGAGAGCAACCTTAGCCTCTGCCTTGGAGAGAAAGGCTCTTTAAGGCTCTTTAAGAAAAATCAACTGTGGAAAGATCTATATTCCAAGCAACACATCCATCCATCCATCCATCCATCCATCCATCCATCTATCTATCTATCTATCTATCTATCTATCTATCTATCTATCTATCTATCTATCTATCTACCTATCTATCTATTGTTTTAGGACATCCTTCATAAAATTTGGTATAAGGTATGCCTATTGATTTGCCAACAATTTCTGAAAGGTGGCACCTGACCAGCTAGCTCTTATTGTAGATGTTACAATAAGTTGTCTGGTAAAATTAAAATTGTCCAGAAAAAAAAAAAAAAAAAGTCTTTTTTTTTTTAAAGTTAAAGGTCAATTTTCTCTTGTCCTTATAAAATTAAATAATCTAACAAATTAGGGCTTCCTCATGGGGATGCTGTRTGCACTGTCAATTAATACAGAAATATGTCAGGAAGGAGCAGCAGCTAAAAGGAAGGGAAAAAGAGGCACCTTCAGACTTCTGTCATTTTCAGATCAAGAAGAATAAGACACTTCATGTAATGAGATTAAGTTAAATAACTTTTAGATTTCTTTCTTGTTATGATATGAATGTAAATATGAATGTTAAGGGAAAATTTATTTTATTAAGAGGAAATTTATTTTAATATTTTCCTGACTTTATGCTATCTCAGCTATTGAGTGGTTGTAAGAAGTGCACATATTTGCAGCCCACTCTCCATCTCTACAGAGAGTCAGAAAGAAAAAATACCACTCTCAGCAGACCACTAACTGATACAAC